TCAAATTATTCCGTTGGTTCTCAAGAATTAAATTATTCAAATTATTCCATTGTTTCTTTTTCTTCCACTTTCACTTTTCAGTATTGAATATCAAAATTTTGGACGTAAAAATTATGTTTGGAATGTCGACGATTGGCTAAATGATTTATTAATGAATATCGATGAATGTAGCAAACAGCAACGGTTATCATTACTTTTTGGTAAATTTCATTTTTTTTCTTCTTCAAATTTCATTTTTTAATTTAGTTAATTTTTTCCTTCTTCTTCTCTCCCAATTTTTTGACTAATTTTGAATAGTTTGCTGAAAAAAAAAATTAAATTTCATGTTTAATGAATGCTTTTTGTTATGCAAAGGTTGTAGCGCGGGCTGTCATAGTGTACTTCGTGCTGCGCTGTTAAAACCACAAGCCATATGTGGCCTAATGCTCCTATCACCTGGTGTAGGCCTAACTTTGAAATCATACATTCAAATCGTTATGCCACAATTTTGGGAGGAAATTTTGGCTGAAAAAAATGTTCCACATCCTTCGGCCAGCAAATATCTTCCGCCAATTATGGTCAATCGACAATGTCTGCAGCATTTTGTTGATGTTAGCATTATTAATTTATTTATGCCTCGGGAAATATTCATCGTATAATCATATAAAAATTATAGATTGATCAGTTTGTTGCAAAATTTGAATTATTCCAATTTAACTATCAAATGGACGAGTGAATTTATTTAAATTTTGTGATATATTTTGTCTTTTTCAAATATAAGTTGCAATTTTTTGTTTTTACTTTTTTCTCTTCAAAAAAAGTAATTAAATTTTAATTTGTCTAAAATTAAAAATTAAATAATACATTCAGACTTGCGTAAGCAATCAAATGAAATCAATTCCTATTCATTGCCCTGTGAGAATTATGCATGGATCTGATGATAAGGTAATTAAAATTAAAATTTTATAAAAGCTAATTTGTTTAATTAGCCAAATCTTTTGTATGATTAGAAAAAGTAGCTCGAAAGCATTTGAATGATTCTATTGATGTGAAATTTCAGACAGTTAATAAAAAAATTGACATCAAACAATTAAGATGAGAAATTGTAATGTATGTTTCATTGAGGTGGTTCCATTGCTAAATGTGAAAAAGTTTAAAGAGAAATTGGAAAGTAAAGATGTTGTCCTAACAGTAATTGATGGTTCAGGCCATTATTTGCCAGTAAGTGAAATTTGCCTAACTTCTATTGAAATTTCAAATTTTCTCCTTTCTAATTTTTTGGTATTTTTTGCGTTCGTTTCCTTGAAATCCTTTTACACTTCAAGGCCTTCTATTTGTTTTGCGTTTGATTGAAATAGTAGAAAGATGAATGCATTGAATTATTAATTATCATCTTCAAAATAATTAATTGGAAATTTTCAGTTTGCCACAGAATTTGAAGAATTATTCGATTCGCTTCTTTGTTCAGTGCAACAAATTGATAACCGAACATTGTGATTTTACTATGATTACGATTTCATTCCATCATAACTGTAATTTTATTACGACTCTGTCGTGAATTTTTCGCCAGAATTTCCTTGTGATTTTTGGCAAATATCACGTCAAAAATGGCGATATTTATTAAATGAAAACAATGAATTATTGTTATAAATAAACATAAAACAAACACAACAAAAGGCAAACAAAACAGTCAGTGTTAATTAAATAATTAAACAAAGTAATATTTCAATAAGTTACCAGTGAAATATTTTAACAATAGAAGGAATAAATGTTGTTGTATTTCAACTTAAATTCTCTATCATTTTGATCTAAAATAATAATTAGTTGAATGGCACATTCATTTATTAATTAAGAAATTGTTAATGAGTGAAGCGTAAAAGTTTCGCATTGATGGTGAGTGTGAAGAAGAATGCTGAAAACGGATATTTGAAGTTGATCGGATGAATAATGTAAATTGAACCTTTGATATTTCAAATTGATAGTGTGCAGTAACGTAAGGTGAACTTTTGAAATATGAAGTAATAGGAACTTTTAAATTTAAAGGTGATGTTTTTAAAAATGAACTTTTAAATTTGTTCTTTAAATTTAAGATTGACAGCTAAAATTAATGTGTTCTTATTCGTTAAATTTTGATACTGAATAGGCGAAGTAATGCAAAAAAGTTCGTTAACTTTTGAAATTTCACAGTGATAGTAAACAGTAATGTGAAGTGAAATTTAAAAATTTGAAGTTGAGCACCTAAAATGACAAATTGATATTGAATAGTGATATAAGATCATTTATTCTTACAATCAAATGATATTAAAAAAAAAAAAAAATTAAGAAAAATGACAGAAATAATTGCATATTTTTTAAATGAGCAAATCGATGGTTAGTTTTGTATTTACAATAACTACAATTTTTGTTCTTGTAAGATGAGAAGTAAAAAAAGTTACCAAAAAAAGAGAAGGATAGAGGATAGAGAGAGAGAGAGAGAGAGAGGGAGAGAGAGAGGGAGAGGTAACAATTGAATTGAACAAACAGATCGGTGTTGAAGTAAAATGGCATGATCGGTGGTTGCCAGGCAGCATTCAAAACGATGACAGCAGCATTCATTCATTTATCTCCTCTACCTGTATTAGTTTGTTATTGGTACAATGTTAATCAGTTTATATCAATTTGCCAACAGCAACAACAACAACAACAATAACAACATTCTCTTTTGTTCCTCTTTTCTTTGTTAAAATTTTTCTCAAAATTTCAAAAATAAATTAAAATGTTTATATTTCATAACCCATTAAAATATTATATTTGCATATTTCGATACATGTATGATTATGTATATTTATTTTCATGCAAAGATAAAAGCGCAAATTCATATTTGTTGAAGGTAAAAGTATTGTTGTATAATAGTGCAATTTTTATGAGAACAATTAAGTTAATTATTAAAATGAGATGAATAGTTGAGAAAACGAACACTTATATTCTATTATAACATCTGTCTAAATAACTTCATTGGTCAGTGTATGTGTGTGTATGTGTGTGTATGTGTGTATGTGTGTGCATGTGTGCATGTGTGTATGTGTGTGTGTGTCACTATAGCAACATCTTAAAAATTTCACATTCACAGTAAAACTTTGTTCGCTTAAATACCATCATAATATTTGCTATGCTTTTCATTCTTCTCTCTCTCTCTCTCTCCCTCTCCCTCTCTTTTTCACTTGGAATAATTCTTATTTTGAAGGCTTTTTATCATGGAGAATTTGAAAATTTATTTTTAGTTACATTCTAATTTAAAAAGTTAAAAAAATCTTTTTTTTGATAATTAAATGATTTGCGATTGAATTAAAATAAAAAATTTATTCTTTCATTTATGATATCTTGAAATTAAAACAATCTTTCGTTTTTTTTTTTGATGAAACTTTAAAAAAAAAGGAAAATTATAAATTTTGTTATTATCGTATCCTATAGAAAAGTGTAAAAAGTAAAGATTCCTTTTTTTTACAGATATATTACCTATTATTTTTTTGAAAATCAATACATAGTTCAAATTACATAGCAAATTTGTTTTTTTTTGCTTGAAAATAAAAGTTCAGTGGATAGGAAAGAGCTAAGTTCAAGAAAATATCTTTCCTAGAGGGATTAAAAAAATTTTTTGGAATCATTGATGGAGAGTGTTTGATGGGATTGTGAAAATTCGAAATGATATGTTGTCATCGTCATCATTTCAATGTAAATTTTCCGAATGAGGAATGCTTTTTTCTCATTCAATCGTTGATCTATTTTAACACTTTCATCAAATTATAAACAAATATTATTTGTTTATGTGAGCCAAATGTTAACAATACAATCAATTTGTTCAAAATTAATCGATTAAATTAAAATAAAAAACTGAAAAAAATTTACATTTCTTTATTTTACAGAAATGATTTTTAATTTCAATTTAAAAGTTTGATAGTATTATTGTAAGACAAAAGATTTTAATGCTACCGTTTGAATCTCATTCTCAGTAACTTATTATTGTGTTTTGTAATTAACAAAATGTAAATTTGAATTATACCTAACTTCTCTAGTGAAAATATTTTGGTAAAATGATCAGTTAAATTTTAGAAGAGGAAGGTAATTGAAAAAGGATAGGAATAAAATTGATTTTTTTAATCCCATTATGGCCAATGTTGTCAACAACTTCCTTTTTTGAATTGAATAAAACAATTAAATCTTTTTTATTTTTCATTTTTTAGAACTGTTTGATTTGGAAATTTTTTTAACACAAATTTCGATGAAAAATATTGCTCAGGAAGTGATTTATTTGAATGAATTTACGACAGGAAATGGCTCAATTTTTGAACTGAAAAAGTTTTAGTGTCATGTAATTTGATAGTGAAATTAGGCTTGAATGACACAAACCTTAACTATACTTGAATTACATTCAATATATTTATTAAATCGTTGAATTTTATTTAAATATAAGATATTTTTCATCTCATTTTCATTTCTGAATTAAGAATTATTGATTTAAATTTGATTATTCCCTGAATTTGTTACGAAAATTAGAAATATTGAGCTTATTAGAATGAAGTCTTGTAAAATATAAATATTTATTCTTTATTTTTTTCTGTTTATTTTACAGTACCTATTCCTTTGTAATCAATACTATAAATCTGAAAATTTCATAAATCCATATGTACATACAATAAAAAGTAATAATTATTCGTATATTTCATCTTTTTTTTTGCCATTGTAGCATAAAATTTCCTCTTCAAACAACGAAAATGAAATGAGACAATGGGATGAACAAAAATTTGTTTATCATTTCATGAATTGTTCTGGGAGCAATTCAAAATTTTGTTCAAATTTTCAGCTATCCTTCCTTTCTTTCTCAATTGTTTCTGCTATTTTTCATTCAAATTACTCTTTCGGTATAAATTTATGCAAATTATAGCCATTTCTCGTGTTTTCTACTATGAATAGATAAAAAGTGAAATTGTTTAACGCAAACTTCCCTTAGTTATTTGCATTAAAATAATACATGCTTACATATTTGTAGTAAATTTATTGAAAAAGTTTCAAATGAGTCTCGAAAACATTTACGAAAAACATGATGATATGTATACGGTATATACGGTAAAAAAACGATGATATATATACGGTAGAAATATAATAACAAAAAATGCAATGATTTTTCTTATTTTTAAAATAAACCTTTTTCCGACAAACTATATTTCAACTTTGCAAATTAAACGAAGTGGAAATTTATAGCATATTACAGCTAATTAGTCAATTCATTTCATCTTTCTCATTTCCAGTCCCTTTCTGTCACTTGGATAATTGTTTCCTTCTTTTTTGTATTTTTTTTTTTTCGTGAAATGTGAAATATATTGATTCCTCTTAATGAATTGCTTATTGGTAGCGTTTAGGTGAAATAGCACTGTCGCTAAATAAAATGCTTTATAAGACATTTTCTTGCTCACAAAAAGTAATTGTGATAATTTATTTAATAAATTCGAAAAAAAAAAAACACAAATTAATTTTCTATACACTCAGTTCAAGTGAATTTTTTGATTTTAAATGCAAAAATTTCAATTCATTTTATTTATTTTTCTCTATCGTTAAAATTACTCATGTTGTTCAGCGAAATAAATAAGCATTATCATTTTTCAAACAAAAATTTATAATATTTTATGGCTGAATAAGATGACAATAGCTATACATTTTAAACTTATTATATATCATAGCTGTGAAATGCTCAGGCTTTCTTTTCACTCTCCTAGGCCATTAATGTCCAGTTACAAAGCAGCCTAGACATTTTTAAATTTAACAAAGAACGAAATTGAATCACTTTTTCACCGTATTTTTTATTTGTTCTTTTGAATGTCAAAAAAAAAAGGAAAATCGTAGGCCAAATAAAAGCATTAGGTTAAATATATTATTGAATTGAGCGATAATAATAGATCCCTTATATAATTCATATTAATTCTTTACATTGAATTGAATTCACCAATTAAATTATCAATTTCTTTCAATTCATGGGGATAGATTTGATGCTAAAAATAACTGTCGAAAATTTTAATACATGTTGTGAATTTATTGAAAATCTGATGAGATTGATCGGGCCGGTAGCATTTTATTTGACAAATGGAACATGTGTGTGTGTGCGTGTGTGTGTATGTGTGTGTGTGTG